TAAACTTTAAAAATAAATAAATAAGTAAAATATTTTTTTAAAAGTTCTACTCTAGGAGCAGGGCAGAAGGAAAGAATACCGCAAAAGATCTTTTAAATGATTGCCCAAACATTTAACATATCTTCTTAGTAGGCTCTGCAATAGATCAAAAGTCCTTTCAGTCACTGCCTACAGGGCAAGCAGGAAGAGGGAAGTGGTGCAGGTTCTTAACCAGCTTAGGAAGACAGAGAGTTTTGTTGTTTCAGGAGTAGGCCGATTGAGCATCTTGCCGCCTGGCGCTGGGGATCTGCCGACGCGACAGTAAATCATGGAGTCAGGGAAAGTGGAACTCTGTGCGTGCAGTTGGGTATAGGGAAGAGGCAAGATAGGGATTACCAGATCCTCCTACTACTTGTCATCTTACTTGTGACTAGGATCAATTAAAGTCTCTAGAGGAGATCACCTTTTGTATGAATCAGCCTGCTGTATTAATTATTATCTTATTAAATACCCAGAGAACACTCTGCCTTAGGAAAGAAGCACTGGGGAGTTATAAGCTTTCAAAATTAACCTGGGATAACACTTGCTTTATATACAGTATCTGTTGGCAGTGGAGAGGGCTAATGACATCCCTCTTCTCTCTGAATTCAGAACCCATTAAGAAATAGACCTAGGTGTCAGAGATCAAAAGGTCGATTTTATTATGACCGTGTTGGGTCGGAGACGTGCTATCGGCCCAAAGTCAGAATGCACTTCAATTCCTTCCCCCTCTGAACGGAACAGTTGGACCAGCTGCAGATAGAGCTCTGGGAAGTCGCGGGTCTCCCCAGGGAAGGAGGGCCTGCCCGGGGGAGCTTCCCCAAGGAAAGGGCAGGAATGGAGAGGGGTGCAGGTACAGCCTGAGGGCACGGACAGCTTCCAGGACAGGACCTCTGGGGGCAGCAGGCTTTGCCCTGTCACCTCCACCTAATAGATGGGTGGCGGTGGCCATCAGACCCCGCCTTCTCACTGCTCAAATGAGTGATTCCTTCTCCCTGAAGGGGAGCCTCCTAGCAAAGGAGAGAAGGCAACAGCTTCCTCCCCAGCACTCCCTGACACAGCAGACAGGCACCTGTTTTGTGATACGGGGTCAAAGCAGAAACAAGGGGAGGAAAAAAGAATGGCTCCCCTTAGAGTATTTATAAGCTTACTCTCAGGACAGCTTATTTCTTTCAGAATTTTACCTTGGAACAGTGACGTCATTTTCAGTTAAAAGTGTTTACGTCCTGTTGGAAATAAAAGAACCTCTGCTGTATCATACTAGACAGAGAAATTCACCACCACCACCCCCAAACCAGAAGTTTAGAGTATTAAGGGAGAAAAATCTGAGACCCTAGAAAGACAGAATTCTGTACAAATAACTGGTAACGTTGGCTTACATTAGTTACAGCATATGAGAAGCAGAAATGCCCTAACACCGTTCTGCTCAGTAATCACCCCTGAAAGCCTGAAGGCACATCTTGCAGGAAGTATCATCCCCGTTTATGCTGGGTTATTAAGAATTAACTCTGGGAGGAGAAAGAGCAATAATATAGCTCTAATGCGCTTTCTGTCCGTGAAAAATGCTGCCAAGTATTTTTCTTTTTATGAAAGTGCTGTGATTCGTTTTTAAATTTATAAAGTCTTTTCTCCAAAGAGCAATCAGACTATGGAGAACTATAGAAATAACGTACCTGATGTTATTTATTCCTGCTGTCTCTCTGTAAGCAGCCGTTGGGATCACTCAGAAGTCATCCTGTACTACTGTCTTTGAGTAGCTGTTTCTAGAACCTTTGAGTTGGAGAAGTAACCAAGCATTTAGAATATGTCATGGCACTACTCTTGTTACATCAAACCCAAAGAGGTCCCAGATTTTCAAAGTTATACCATAAAGACCTTCCGCATGAGCAGTAAAGAAGGAAACATTTCTTGTAGTCTAGATTCAGTTATTTTTTGATTAGTTATTAGATTATTTTTTGGTATCCCAGTTCAATTCAAAAAGTATTTGTGGATCACCTACTATGTCCCTAGCGTTTACCAGGCTACAGAATTGTATGATAGCCTCTGCTCTGAAGTATTTAATGACCTTTAGGAATGAAAGCAAGTGACAGTTAAACAGGAAGCACAGCTGGCTTCTCTCCTGGAAGGAGGCAGAAGGGAACAGTAAATAAAGAAAAGTGGGAAGAAAGTGGTGATGGGGGAGGGAATAGAATTCAGTTGATTTTTTTTTCACTTTTCCTTCTAATGCCATAAAAAGTGGTGGTGTAGGATTCTTAGAAAGGCAGTGTCCAGGGGCGCCTGGGTGGCGCAGTCGGTTAAGCGTCCGACTTCAGCCAGGTCACGATCTCGCGGTCCGTGAGTTCGAGCCCCGTGTCGGGCTCTGGGCTGATGGCTCAGAGCCTGGAGCCTGTTTCCGATTCTGTGTCTCCCTCTCTCTCTGCCCCTCGCCCGTTCATGCTCTGTCTCTCTCTGTCCCAAAACTAAATAAACGTTGAAAAAAAAGATTTAAAAAAAAAAAGAAAGGCAGTGTCCAGAAGTCCTTTTTTTATCTGTTAGAAAATGCAGGGGCACCTGGGTGGCTCAGTGGGTCGGTTAAGCATCTGACTTCAGGTCATGATCTCACAGTTCATGGGTTCTAGCCCCACGTCAGGCTCCCTGCTGTCAGTCAGCACCGAGCCTGGAGCCTGCTTTTCAGATCCTCTGTCCCCATAGCTCTCTGCCCCTCCCCCACTCACACTCTCTCTCTTTCCCTCTCAAAAGAAAACATTTAAAAAAGGAAACTGCAGACAACTCTCTTTACTCATGTACACTAAATTAATTCTTAAATACATCTGAACTAAAGATTTTTTTAATGGACCAGAAATCCAAAATACCACATAGAGAAGTGAAATGGTATGAACAGTGAGTAAAACCATCTTGCCACAGTTCCTCATCACATTTGGTATGGGCCCAAAGTAACACTTATTGTTACATTTCCTTTAAATGTTTGTAACTAATATTACAAATACAACGTATGTTCTTCTTCAAAAACAAGCCAAGAGAGAGTGTCAGTAACTTGTCACCATTGCAAAGTGCAGCTTGGTGTCTGACTCCCTAAATCAGGCTTTCTGTGCTTCTCTGCATGTAACCTCTAGCCATTTATTTGTATGGGGTTGGATGGGAAAGTAAGTATGCGTCAGGTTTTTCTCTGAGTTCTTAAGCTGTTACGTTAGTGCTATCCACGAAGGGAGTGCACAAGAAAAATTTCTTGAAGTCGTGCCGTGTGGATAAATACTATATATAATATTTTCTGGCTTTTGGCTTCTCCCATCAGGATGGAGGCAGCCTTGTGGGAGAAGTAAATGAAGACGGGGAGATGACAGGCGAGAAGATAGCGTACGTGTACCCTGACGAGAGGACCGCACTTTATGGAAAATTCATCGATGGAGAGATGATAGAGGGAAAGCTGGCTACCCTTATGTCCACTGAAGAAGGAAGGCCTCACTTTGAACTGATGCCTGGAAGTAAGTTGGATCTGCTTCAGAAGCGTGCTCTAATTCCAAAGCAGGTTGTTAGGGCATAATTGAGAGAAATTAATTTCCTTGTCTAGTCCACTTTAATCATGCATTAGTCAGCTTTGCTGCATAACAAACACCTTAACATCTCAAATACAGGTGATAAGCTGTACTCCAGCTGGTCTGGGGTGGGCTGGGCTGGGCATGGCTGGACTTGAGGCTTCTTATTGTATTGTGTCTTACCGGTCTTAATTCTGGGGCCATCTGAAGGGATGTTGGTGGCCTGGGTCAAGATTTTCCCAAGTGGGCCACAAGAAGTCAGAGCATGAGCAGACACCTATGCTGCCTCTGAAAGCTTGGCTTGGAATTGACATAAGTTCACCCACTTTTCATTGGTCAAAGCAAATCACATAGTCAAGCCAAACATCAATGAGACGGGGAAATATGCATTTCAGTAGCAGATGCTAAAAGTCACATGACAAGAATATAGCTATATAATAATACAGGGAAGAATTGAAGAAATGACGGCAGTAATTCCATGAATTTCAAAAGATTAGTGTATCTCAGAAAAAGCTGAAATACAGTTCAATGATATTAAAGAATCAAATTAGGTAGATCTCCAGGTTGTACAGATTGTAAAGCTGATTCAGCCCGAGCTCTGATTGGAAAGGATAAATGCATAGTGGCATCTTCACAGGACACATACTGGACACAGGAGTGAGCCCAGTGGAATCATATTAGGAAAAAATCCTATTTCCTTTTAGTTTTTTTTAATTTTTATTTTCATTTTATTTATTTATTTTTTTGTTTATTTTTTTTTTTTGAGAGAGAGAGCTTGAGCAGGGGAGGGGCAGAGAGAGAGAGAGAGAGAGAGAGAGACAGAGAGAGAAACAGAGAATCCTAAGCAGGCTCCACATCCATTGCAGAGCCGTAGGCAGGGTTCCATCTCGCAACTGTGAGATCATGACCTGAGCCAGAATCAAGAGTCGGGCGCTTAACTGACTGAGCCACCCATGCGCCCTCCCCCCATTTCCATATAGAAGTACAATACGGCATACTAAATGTTTTTTTCTGCGTATAAAATTATTTATTGTAGAAAGTCTGGGGGAAAAAAACAAAGAAAAAAAGAAGCTGTTTATATTGGTCTCATTCCTTGAAAACAACATATGCGTGTATTTCCAATCTAAGTTAGGTTCTAAGAAGAAAAAAGTAAAAAAGATAATAAATCTAGGCACTCACATTCCTAAATAATATTTAGCTATTTGTGATCTGAAGGAGAATCTCCAGAGGAGAATGTCCAAAAATGGGAAATCTAGCATTTATAACTTGAGTTGTTTTAAATGTCTCAGTTTTTATTTTTTTTAAGTTAAAAATTGAGGCAGCTTAAATGTGATGTGGGATTCTGGGTTGGATCCTGGAAGAGAAAGAGGGCATTAGTGGAAAAACTGGTGAAATCTGAATAAAGTCTGAAGTTTAGTTAATAGTAATGTAGCTATGTTGGTTTCTTCATTTTGACAATCATACCATGCGACATAAGAAGTTAACATTATGAGATGGGCGCCTGGGTGGCTCAGTGGATTCAGTGACTGACTCTTGATTTTGGCTCAGGTCATGATCTCACGGTTCGTGAGTTCGAGCCCAAGTCAGGCTCTGCTCTGATGGAGTGGAGCCTGCTTGGAATTCTGTTTTTCTCCCCTCTCTTTGCCTCTCTCTCTCTCTCTCTCTCTCTCTCTCAAAATAAATACATAAACATTAAAAAAGAAGTAGAAGAAGTTAACATTGGGAGAAACCATGAGGGATATTGGGGAATCTCTGTACTATTTTTGCAACTTTTCTATAAATTTTCAATCATCCCCAAATGAAGTTGTTTTCATTTTAAGTGAAACAGTAATCTTTGCACTTCAAATTCTCATATCTGTGCTCTTCACATGTGTTCTGAAAGGAGACAGTGCCACAGTCTTTAGAAATGAAGGGACCTGGGCCAGGGGAGGATCCCCAAATGGTGATGCCAATTTTAAAACTTCACAAGTGGCAGCGTGTTTTAGTGGCAAGAGCCTTGAACTTTGGAGTCACCTCATTTAAGTTTCAGCTTCAGCATTTGCCACAGTGTGGTCTCGGGCAAGTTCTTTATCCCTTCGGAAACTGTTTCTTCATTATAAAAGACAGGTGCTGGCAGCGACTGTAAAAACACCATAATGAAAGTTATTGTTATTATTACCTTCTTCTTAGTATAAGTAAGAAACAGATTTTGGGAAGTGAGGGTAATAGTTCTCAAAGGGTATTTTTTTTTTTTTTTTAGAACTCCTGGTTGTAAATGATGAACACCCTTTTCATTATAAGGCCACAGTAAAGGTCGGGAGGAGGGGCATAACTGGTGAGATTCTGGCAGGCCTGTTAATTTAAGGATACATTGAGCAATTTGGGTTTCACAAAGGTCAAGAAGCATGGCTGCTTTGGGTGACTGACAGGACACAGGTCTTCAGTGTTCTGCACCTCTCCCCACCACACTCCCCCAGCCCCTCTCGTTACTGTCAGTGAGCTGCGGACTAACCTACAGATGAGGTCTGACAGGGCCATGCTGCCATCTGGTCCACCATGGGGAGGAGAAAAACGTAATGCAAACACCTCACACAAAGTACTCCCAACCTGCCCCTCGCCGACCTCTCCCACCACACCCTTTGTCTTTATGCTTTTGTAACCACAAACTGCTTCTATCTTTATTTACTTAGAGCACATGTCAGAGAGGGGCAGAGGGAGAGAGAGAGAATCTTAAGCTAGCCCGGTGCCCAGAGTGGGGCTCAATTCCACGACCCTGGGATCATGACCTGAGCTGAAATCAATAGTCAGCCACTCAACTGACTGAGCCACCCAGGGGCTCCCCATAAATTGCTTCTAGTTCTCCACTTACCATGCGCTGATTTCTTCGTTATGCCTCAGGCGGGATTTTCTTCTTGCCTTGTCTCTTCATCTCTCGACAAAGGAACTCCTTTCTCTGTTAATTCCCATTCTGTCTTTAAGGCTTGGCTCACCTCATAGAATTAGTGACTGTCAAGTGAATGAATGAATTCTGGTCAAAGGGCATAGTATAAACTATAGAGGAGAGGAGTAAAACTAAAGATTGTGCTCCATTTGCCTGGAGCAGATCTAGGAAAAACAGGAAGGGACATTAAGCTGGAAAAGACCGCATCGGCTCCTTGAAGAGCAGCTGGAGGTGTTTCTCCTCTTTGCACCTGCACGGTCCCTAACACAGTGCTTTACATGTAGTTGGCACTCTGTACGTTTGGGATGAAAGGTTTAGTCTAAAGAAGGAAGGTGGAGGTTCATAGATTTTCTGTGCAATACAACATGTATTTCACAGAAAAGTTTGGTTGAATTGTGTGGGTTGTTTCTTTTTTAAACTAACTTCCTTTAATGGATTGTGCGTTGGTCCATTACCAGTTTGCTCCCAGATGCAATTCTTGTCCACATGTCCTGCTTTCATTGCAAGGGGCTTCTGCCGCTGGCAGGCCACGTTTCCTAGGGTCATGTGCATTGGCTTCTCTCTGGGTTTGGCCATCGGGAGGCACTGGCCAAGGGCATGGAGAGGAAAGGAATCAGGGAGAAGATCTCTCTGTGTCCAGCAGTGCCTCCAGCAGTGGCCTGTCTCCTGATTCCATCTCCCAACAGGAAGGTCCTGCATCAATCCAACTCTAGAACCCCAGGCACACCCTCTCCGCCTTTGTCCCTCTGGCTTAGGGCTGTATGGCTTCCAGTTCTTGCCAGTTTCTGGGCTCCTTACCTGCCCGTTTGGCTTCTCAGTTCTTCCGTGCTCTGTATAACCAATTCCCTGAGTGAAATTCTCTCTTTGAAATACTCAAATGGTCTGTTTCCTAGCTAGACCTTGACTGATCCTGATTGCTTTTTAACTTTTAGTTTGAGACATTGATTTTGGATTTTGTGATTGTACAAAACAAAACAAAACTGAAAGAGGACCTGGTAACCACTGGTAACCACCGAGGAATTGCTTACTGGGACTATTTGTGATGTCTTAGTGCCTAAAAGAATTTACTTTACAAGACTAAGCCCATCAGTTCTGAAATGTGCTTCTTTACTTACTGTGCAGTAGAGCCTCGGATGTCTTCAGTGTGCTCTGGGAAGGCTCTCTGAGGCTGGTCCTTTGCGGAGAACCAGTGTTAAATCTAGGACAGTTGTGTACCTTAGTTTCTGGAATAAATTACTGACTTGCTTCTGAACAACCTTAATAGAAATAAGATGACTGTGTTTTTGCTTTATCAAAAGCAGTTCTGTTCTTAATTCTGGTGAGGCTGGATGTTTATTTTTAGTGAAGGAGACAATTGCCAGGGCTGGGTGGTTGGAGTCTACAGACTGTGTCTACTGGGAAGAAAACCACGAGAAAATTTTAAAACCATCACTCAACCTGATCTGCCCAGAGAGATCTCAGAATTTCATGACAAAGCATTTTCTTGATTAAAAACTTTAATTGCACAAGCATTTTTTAAACCATTTGAATAAAGACAATTCAAAAGCAAAAATGGGATTTTAAGAAATACATACGATGGCTGTTCATTAAGACCTAAAAATGCAACTCAAAAGCAAATCTAAAAGCCATTCATTTATATTGGAGAATTTGGGGGTGCCTGGGTGACTCAGTTGGTTCAGTATTCAACTTCAGCTCAGGTCATGATTTCACAATTTGGGAGTTTGAGCCCCCTGTCGGGCTGTGTGGTGACGGTATGGAGCCTGCTTGGGATTCTGTCTCTCCCTCTCTCTGTGCCCCTCCCCTGCTTGCTCGCTCTCTCGCTCTCTCAAAATAAATAAACTTAAAAAATTTTTTTAATT